TCTCTGTTATGGTCTTCCCATCGCTTCCTCCCTCCCCAGCCACTGAGGTCCTGGCTGACAGCAGAGCCCTGGGATGGAGATTCCCCACTTTCCCATCTGCACGGGGCATCCTTAGCGGGGGAGCCGGGGCCGTGGAGGCGGCGGTGGCCAGACAAGGTGCCCCTTTGACACTCACAGAGTGGCCTTTCAGAGCTGTGAAGTGTCCCCGCTCCGTCTAGGGCTGCCATATAAACAGATGCTGTCCCCCAGCACAGAGCGAGGAATGCAGAGCACAATGGCCCAATGTTCCTCACAATAAAGCTCCGCTTCTTCTGCCCTCCACAAAGGCGGCTCTGAGCGGGGCTCACCCATGGGTGCACTAACCCTTCCTCTCGGGTGCTTTGGCTGTGGTTTGAGCTGATGGAGCAGGGAGGTGAAACCCAAACATGGGGCTTTTTCCTGCTCTCTGCTTCCCCGTGTCCTCATAGTCAATGGACCTAAAAGAAGATCGTATGTGGGTCACGAGGGTTCCTCTGTCTGGGGTGAGCATCAACAGCGTTGGTTGCCCATGGAATTGGCTTGGAGCTTTTAGCTTTCAGATGTTAACATCCCTGTGTTGCCCAAAGAGATTTATCCCCTGCTGCTGTCAGACATCACAGCAGATCAGCACAAAAGGAGCCTGGCTCGCTGGTGAAACACACTGCTCTTGGTGACATCTCTTCTGAACCCACCTCATCTCGCAGCATCCTTTTGTCTTACTCCATCAGAGTGTGACAGAGCCTTTTCATGAGGGTTGTTTTACAGATGCTCGCGGTTCAGCAGCGTGTTCTCCCTCATTCATACTGAGCCCTGTCATTGCTGGTAATTGTATATGTTACAGGGGCACCTCTGGGTGCTGCTGGGATGGATGATGGGCTTATGTGTCATCAGAGGTTTACAAGGTGGTGGCTGGGAGGGGATATGCTTTAAATATAAAGGCACAGAAGGCTGGTGCTGAACTGTTTTGGCTGGCCCAGATATGGTCAGGCAGTCCCTGGGCACCCAGGTTCTTGTGGCATCTGCGAAAACATTCCAAATGAATTCCTCCCTTCCCTCCTTCTTGGGAGAAGAAAGGGGAAAAAGAAGAAAATCAATGATTAGAGGTTGCTGAGGTTTTGTGTTACACCATTAAACTGCACGGCATGTCTCCCAACAGCCCTTAAGGCTATGGTCCTCCATCTCATCCATCTTACGGCTGTCATGTCCCCTCCCTGACTTCAGGATGTTTCTGTGGAGGAGTGGAGACCCGCTGCAGATGCAACTGCACATTAGGAGCTGTCTCATATCACATATTTTAGTGCTTTTATGCTTTTCCCCTTGTGATGAAGCTCTCCTGTGCTGGGGGTACAAGGTGAGGGCAAACCCCATCAGTGTTGTACTTCCCTGACCATCAGACCTGGGGGATGAAAATTCCCTGTGGGATGCTCTGTGGCTTCAGGCCAGACATGGGATAGGACTTTGGAGGTGTTGCCTGTTCTCTGTGCTCTAGGGGACACTTCCAAGTGGGGTCAAAACTCGTCCTCCTCTAGAACAGTAGCCAGAGTAATGCAAGAGTGGGGGTCTCTCTTGTATCCCCTTCTGTAGCTGTGAAGCTGCAGTCCCATGTAAAACCCCATCACAGGCAACGTTTTGTTGCCACTAGTGGCACAGATCACTTGGCAAGTGATGGGGTTTCCTGTATCCAGTGGCTATTTCCCCTTGGGTGGAATGGAAGTGAAACCAGGCTGGCTTTTGCAGATACGTTTTTGGGATTTAGGCTGTCCCCCTTGCCCAATACTTGCTTTTATATATGACCCCTGCCTGGTGCCTGCTACCCTGTATGTCAGCATCCTGCAGTGAGCACATCCAGCCCCAAGCTACTGCCCTGCAGGCATCAAGGCAGCAGCTCTTAAGGTATGACACAAAGCCCATAGTTCTGATCAGATGCATGAGCCCCCTGCCTTGGGAGATCCCAAACCTGGCCTCAAGTGTGGCCTTTGCCCTTGGGTATTGGATCACTCAGTGCTGGATCCAAGCCTTGCACGTGCTCTGCCCCTATCCCCACTGGCTGGCTAATCACTGCCGGCTCCCTCTGCCAGGGCTTCATGTGCCGGTGATGGTTTTAATCATTAGGAAATGTATATAAAGTTGATGGATGATGTGATATGCACTACCTACATGGTCTTTAAAGTAAGTATATTCATAAAAAACTAGGAGAAACAGAGGCTTTTGTTACTGGAAGCCTGTTTTTGCCCCAACATCGATTCTTTTGTGAGAGCTGCACACTGGTTGGCTTTAATGGAGTTAATAATCATCTGAAATGGAGTCGAGCAATTGATGTTATTGCATCAAAATGTTTCCCTCCTTCCCTTCCCCCTCTTTTTCCCCCTATTTCCCCCCAAAACAGAAATTCCTGGCTAATGCTCAAAATCCAGTTCAGTTCTCACCATGCAAGTATTAAACTGTGGGTCTTTTCTTTCAAGTTTCTGGATTCTTATGTGCACAATTGGTCTGTTAACAGCACTTTTTTTTTTCTGTGTGGTTTCAATGCATTTATATCATTGACCTTTGCTTTAAAAAGTGTCTGACAGCCTTTGCTGGGCTGGAGCTATAAAAAGGAGTGTTGTAAGGGGGCTTTATTCTATGGAAGCAATGACCACAGGCAAAGCTTTATATTTGCTGAGTGATTTAATTCTTGCACATGCAGAACTTGGCTCTGGGCCACATGTAACATGTTGAGAAAAGGTCTGTTTGAGAGGCATTAAACCCAAACTTTACTAAACTGCCTTTTTTTTGTACATATATATATATATATAGCTTTGTTTCCTGTTATTTTTAAGCTAACAAGTCAAATCAAGGGATACTGCCCCCAAAATGCTGCGCTGAGCTCCAGCAGAGCCACTGGGGAAATAAAGCTCCTTTAAAGCAATGAAGTGGGATTCTGGATGGAGGGGTGCCTGCTGAGAGGAAGAGGAGGGTGGCAATGTAAAGGCTTAATGGAGGGACAGGAGAGGATAAAACGGGGCACTCTGGACTCCAGCTTGGGAGGGTGAACATTGACCACCTGTAGTGCTTGGTCCAGCTATGTCCTACTTATAAGGCACATCCTATGAGTAAACACAGGTGTGTTTTCAGGTTAAGCATCAGTTCCCCCCCATTAGTTGCTTTTCCCTGCTTGGATCTGCCTGTTCCCTGCCTACATACAGGAATATCTGACTGGGAGCAGTTAGAAACAAATAGACCCAAACTTTCTGTTTGTTCTCATTTCCAACACTGTGACAACGCTTGGATGAACGTTGGGTCTTGTGAAAAGCTCTTTCAAAGTCAAATGTACTGAGCTGCTTAACAGCATCCCTTTGAATTGTGCATCTGCCTGCTGCAACTCCAGATAATGGTCTGGAAAGGAGGAGACGTCATCTTTCTCTTTCTCCTTCTTGTAATCAGTCCATTGAATAAGCCTGAAGTTTCACATGCTGGAACTATTTAATTGTGTACCCACTTGGGCCGAGTTCCGTGTTTTGGTGCGCCTTTGAGTGTTTCCTCTTCCTTTGGCAAGCAACTGAACAAGAGAAATACTAAATGATGTTAATTTCCAACGGAAGCAATGTCTTCCCCAAAACATTGCAATCTACTGCATCTTAATGAAAACCAACACATCAACAGTGCACTGAGCCATTTGGAGCCTCAGCCTCTATTGGTTTTAATCAGCAGGTTTTTTTCCAGGGGCTTTTAGAAGCAAACTGTGCATTGCTCTCTCTTCCTCAGGAGGAGAGAGGGAGAACAATAGGTTATCTCTGTGCAGGCACATTGAACCCTGGAATACTGAATTAAACAAGCGTAGGGATAGGGAGGAGGTAATACAGGGGGAGAGCTGAGAGGAGGATGAAGCCATTGGTGGTACCTGCTTTGTCTACTGCGGCTTCAAATGAAGCCATCTTCTGTAGGAGACTAGATCATGGTTTTTTGGGAAGAACTTCTGCCTAAGAGCTCATCTCAATCTCCCCTCTGGCAGGTTAAAGCCATTCTCCTGTGTCCTGTCCCTACATACCCTTGTTTCCCTGAGAGTTGAGCTTAAATGCTACTAGTATATAGTCACTTATGAAAGCGATGGGTTTGAAGCCTCTATGTCAAGAGACTGGCATGGAAAGCCAAAGGAATGAGGGTAACCTTTGCTTTTTATAGCCTCTTGGTATTTGCTCATGCAGCTGACACCAATACCCTCTGTTTTAACTGCGCAGAGCTCCACCCTCTGTGCACTTCAGACTCTGTGCCCAAGTAAACAGGCTCCTGGCTGGGGTTAGTGTAGTGGAAACTGCTGGGGAAGGGAAAATCCTCTCTTGTCTTTCCTTGGTTCCTCCTGGGTAGAAGAAGGTGACTGGAGTGAGAGCCTTTGCCTGGGTGGCTTTGGGGATGCTGCGTGGAAGGGATGAATAGGATCATGAAGGAGAGCAAGTGGCTCATGCCTGCTGAAATCCAAGCAAGACACCTGAGATGCTGTGCTCTTGAAGGAGCAGGAAAAGCTCCTGGTGAGCAGGGAATTGTCCACTCTCCCAAAAATCTGGGGAGTGCTGGTTGGTATCCATGTGGGGAGAGGTGATCATCCATGTGGGTGCTCTTTTATGGTCAAGGTGTAGGGCTCATGGGTGTCTCACTGTCCTGCACGACCTGGGGCAGGTGCCTGAGGAAGCTGGGAAGGGAGAGAGGCTGTTGGAGCATCTGCTGCGGGTAATGCATGAGGATGGCTTTGGGCCAAGGCTTTCCACAGTGAGCGATGGTTTCTGGTGCCCAGCTCAAGACTGCTGTCAAGGCAACTGCTTTTGCAGAGATTTAATCTCTCCTGAACTCCCCATCGCTTTTGGAAGTTGTTGCCTATGGGTTTCATATTGTGCTTCCAGAAGAGTTCACCTCCTCTGGAAAGGGAGTCCAAATCACTGACCAGAGGTTTGCACTTTGGATGCCTCTCAGTACATCCAGATCTCACTGTTTGTTTTTTCCATGTGCAGCTCTGGGAAATGCCAGTGTAAAGTTGGTGTCATGGACCTGAAGTGTGACCGGTGCAGTGACGGATACTACAGGTTTAATGAAACCACGTGCGAGCCGTGCCAGTGCAACAACCACTCCAAGACCTGCAACAGCTCCACAGGTAACCTTCCCCTTGTGACCACGGTGGGTGCAGGCTTTACCTGCCTCATCTGTCTCTGGTTTTTGTCATTTTTGTGCAGCAGAGTTCTGCTCTCATTCTCTTCATCTGCATCTTTAGAATCATAGAATTTAGGCCTTGAGTACCCAGAATCTTTACATTTAAACTGACATTAAAATGCAGCTTTGGAGCTAGTCTTCCTCTCAAGGAAGTCAATAAAGACAGCATTATCCACCTCAGGCTGCAGTGCAGAGCATTTATTCTGCAGTCTCTATTGGAAATCAGTGCTCCATTGTTCTCTGCTTACCCAAATACACAACACTGGCTTTTAAGGAGCTGTTGTTTAACTGCTGTTTACCTGGCAACATCTACTGCAGTAGCACTGAGGTAAGGTGACTGTTATTGCCACAGAGGACACTATTAGTGCTAGAAAAAACTGGCAGCACCTAATTAATATTGCCCACTTCTTATAAGTTTGCCTTGTGCCTTTTCCTTGATCACTTCTTTGGCTGTATCTCACTCATGCAGATGCTGATAGAGTGCAAATGTTGAGGTACCTGTGCTTGAAGAGCTTATGGGAGGGCACAGGGATCCTAATTGCTTTTCCATTTCCACCAAAAGGAGAGATCCCGGAGGAGGAATGTTATGTGACTCCTGCACAATCCCCACTTTAGCAGCAAAACTCACACTCCAAAATCCAGATTCTTGTCAGAACTTCCAGGCTGAAATGCAGTTCTGTGATATTTATGCAGGAGCTTAGAAAGAAGTAATATTTTCAAAGTCTTTGTAGGGGTTTTTGTAGGTGGCAGAGAGGCAGAGCTCATTAAAGAAGGTGATTTGGGGTAATTTCTGCACCACTGTCTCTTCCCTCATGTCCTATATGTTTCATAGAATCACAGACTGGTTTGGGTTTGAAAGGACCTTAAAGCTCATCCAGTTCCAAATTCCTGCCATGGGCAGGGACACCTTCCAACAGACCATGTTGCTCCAAGCCCTGTGCAACCTGGCCTTGAAAAGCAGAGGAATGGGCAGCTAATGCCCTGATCCTGCTGAGCATCAGTTAGCACTGGGCACCAGACCTACACTGATGAATTACTGCATTCGTTCCTCTATGGAACTGTATGTGCTTCTGTCCTACCAATATTGAAGGATACAAGACTGTACCTAAAGCTGTGCACACATGAGCTGTGTTACTGATTTGGAGCTGGCTGTGTGGGTTTTGTGAAGGAGGAAGATAATCTGCTCTCCCATTTTCTTCCTCAATGTTCCCCCTGCTCTTGATTTAATTAAAACCCCAAACCCCAGCACAGATCTTGCCCCTGGGATGGGGCTGTGCAGCAGCCCTTCAGCTGGAGCTGCCCACAGCACTGCAAAGAAAAACCCTCTTTTTGGTTAATGCCCTATTCTTGAGTATACAAAAATCCCTTTTTTCCCCCCCAAATTTCCTCCATCTGCTTTATTTGCTGCGAGGGGTGGGAGAACCCAACAAAACCAGAGCAGAGCACAGTTGATTAACAATTAGGTCTGACATCTAATAAGTAACACAGCGCTCAGCCTGCTCTAGACACTGCACTCTGTGTGACCTCCCCAGCTTTACATCAACTCTATGTGGTCTTTGTCACATTTTCAAGCTTTCTTTGGCATCAATGCTGTTCTTTGGGCTCCCTCTGCCGGCTTTACAACCGGCTCCACTCAGCATTCCATAGGCCAGGAGGAATATTTAATATCACTGGGCTGGGAATCAGGCAGCTCCCGAGGCAACAGAGCTTTCTTTGACACTTGCGCCCTGTTTTACGTCAGTGCAGTGAGTTTGGTTGCTGCTTCCCAGTTGGGATATTGGGAAGTTTGATCCTTCCTGAGGGAGTTATCAGGATGGGAAGTGCTATTAATTATTAAGGCTTTCCATAGTGATACCTGATTGCAAGCCCATGCATGCTGTGCACGGCAGAGCGACTTGCTGACTCATTGGAAACGCAGCCATCTCACAGGGTTAAGGTAAAGAGATGCGAGTAATTCCTGCTGATGGGAAAGACATTGGTCCTGAAATGACCAAGTCTGTACAGACTCCAGATTTATGCCACCATTAAAGCCTGCAGAGCATGGTTCAAGGCACCCTTGCTGCTGATAGGGCAGATTAACCTTCCCTGAGCTGCTCCGTCCCAGGCATCCCAGTGAAGCAGCTGATGGAGGTTTGCAGATCATTTCCCCTCAAACCTGACATCTCTCCCACAAAAACCACTGGCTCGTGGCTGACATGCTGTTGGGTGAAGAACAAACAGTGTGTGGGAGCTGTTTGTGAGCGTCCTTAGTCATCAGGGTGCTGCCAGCACCATTGTGCGAGTGAATCATTCCCAAAGTGGGTTTGCTTCCTGCTCTTGGCATGAGGGTCGGCTCCAAGGACATGCCAGGGATGCTCAGGGATGCTGAACTGCAGAGTCATCACTGTGCAGAGAGAAGGAGCCATGCAGCATGTTGGGATTGCAAGGGAGCCAAACTGCTCCAGTATGAATAAGAGAATCTGCTGTGTGGTTTGTTTTCTGTTTTAACAGTCAGCATTAACCTAATTCAGGGGGGTTTGTGTGCTTAATGTTGATGAGACTTTTCCATAGCCCTATAGCACTGCCAGATTAGCTCAGTGAATCTCCTGTCTGGGCTTTTATATACAGGGAATAAACCACTGTGCTGCCTTGGTTTGTTAGAAGGTGGCTGTTGCCTTTTCAGAGTCCTGTACATGGGATTTAATAATCTCAGCTTCCCTCAGGTCACTGCCACCTTGTCGAGGAGCCTGCTGAATTACAGAATGTTCCTGCTGATGGATGGGCTTTTGATAGAGGCTGCGTTTTTATAACCAGGGATGTATTTCTTTCTCTGGCTACAAAATGCAATTTAAAGGGCCACTGGGACACAGCCTCTGCTAAGACACAGCATGTTGATTTTCTGATTCAGGGGCTTCCCTGAATCCTTCAGGAAAGGGATGTGACTCACATGAACTCCCAGTTCTCCTCTGGTTCTTTGGTCAGTCACTGCTGCTGCCTTCTTCCTGTGATGGGGATGGAGGAGCTAGAGCTGCATGGATGGGATGGAGCCATCTGCCCCCAAAGCAGGAGAGCAGCACTTCCTTACCCCAACCACCAGGTCTAAGGTGTAGGAAGAGGTTGTGCACAAAAAGAAGGCAATGAACTGGAGGGACCCCTCGTGGGAGTGGGGGATTGAAGCCTCAGGATTCCATCTCACTGATGGAATCAAATGCAAACTGAAACCCCTTTCCTTGAGGACCATTTAATATTGATAGCATGTGTTTACCTGCGCTGACCTTTCAGTGAGGAGCTGCATGCCTCTCTTCTGGGGCTGCCTACTTTTTCACATTATATGTGTGTGCATATGGAGTAGGGATGAGGTCGTAAGAGGCCAGGATCATGTTTTGGCCAGAGGGCATCCAAAAATCACCTGTGAACTCTGATAATTGAGGGTGCTCCATGCGGATTCATGCTCCAAATGTTCCACTCCAGTTCCTGCTCCTCAGTGGTTGCTTGTGCTCCTGTCCCTTCCCCAGGCATCTGCCTGCACTGCCAGGGGAACACTGAGGGGAACCACTGCGAGCTCTGCAAGGAGGGATTCTACAGAAGCACCCATCCTGCCCACTCCTGCCATCGCTGCCCGTGCTCCACCGTGGCATCGACTGGAACGTGTCGCATACGTAAGGCTTTTTCCCTTCGGTCCCACTCCTCAGATAATGAATGTAGTGCTTTACAATTAGGTTGCCACTCAGTGTGCATCAGCCTAGCAAGGGGTTTATAGCCCATGAACCTGTCTGTGGGAGCCAGAGCACCTTGTGGAAGCAGCGCTTGGCACGATGCATCCCTGGTGCTTGTGTTGCCTCTTGTGAGAGAAGCTGTGCAGTGGAGGGCATCAGGAGTGTGTTTCTGCTCTGTTTTCATGTAATTAAGAGAAGTTATAGCTGTAATAAACATAAGGCTTTTTTTGATATTTCTTCAATCAGTTTTACAATCAAGCCACCTCTGGCTTTGTATAGCCCCAAAAGTTCCTGCAGATTCCTAACACCCCTGATATAGTTCCAGCTGTTTGCTGAAATTGGCTGTTTGAGATGGGAATGCTCAGGAGTAATCATCTGTTTGCTTAGCACCATGCTGAGCGTGCTCTGTGATGCTGGTACAAGGCATCAGAAACCCCTAGGGACAAAGAAAATGCTGCAGGTCAAAAGTTGTATTTTCAGCTTAAAATCTGAGATTAATACTCAATGGCTGATTTTTTTTGTCACAGTGGCTTGTGGTCATGTCCCTAAGAACAAACCCCAGAGCGGGTGTTTCTCTCCAGGGGGTATGATGCATCCCCTGTTTGCTTTCTGTATTCTCTAGATCATGGTGAAAGTGCCCCAAGGTGTGACAGGTGCAAAACTGGGTACACTGGCCCGAACTGCAACCGCTGTGACAACGGCTACTACAACTCTGACAGCATCTGCGTGACGTGTAAGTGCAACGGGAACGTGGACCCAGTGCAGTCGCCCAGCGTGTGCCGGCCGGACAGCGGGGAGTGCATCGGCTGCCTGTACCACACCGCCGGCTTCCACTGCGAGCGGTGTGAGGATGGCTACATCCGAGACCCCGACGGGACCAACTGCACCAAGAAAGGTAGAACACACTCCTCCTGAAGGCTGGGAAAGGGGATCATAGAATCACAGAATGGTTTGGGTTGGAAAGGACCTTAAGATCACTCAGTTCCAAACCCCTCATAGGCAGGGATGCCTCACCACCCTCACAGCAAAGAGCCTCTTCCTTACATCTCACCTGAAATTCCTCTTTTTCAGTTTAAACCCATCACCCTTGTCCTGTTGCTACAGTCCCTGATAAACAGTCCTTCCTTGGCATCGTTGTGTCCCCCTTCAGATACTGGAAGGCTGCTATGAATGTTGTTTATTGTTCAGGTTGGTTTAGATTTGTCTAGCCTGTGTTACAGGGAAGAAAACCAGACCATGTTGTTGCCTACTGGCTTTGAAATCTGATTGAGATTTACCTCTGTACCCTCCCTGAATCCCAGACTGCAGCAGGCACCTCTAGTGAACAAGCTGTTTGCAGTATATTTACATGTAGGTTTTCAGATTTCCATTGCTTGATATACATGATCTTAGTGCCCAGTGAATTGTTCTTCTTGACCGGTCCATCCAACAGCACTGCCTAGTTCCCTAGAAAGGGTGTTTAGAATGAATCTTGTCACTCCTCATACTCTGCAGACATTATTTGGGCCAAATTTAGGTATCAGAGAGTCAACCCCAGAATTTACTGGTATCCACTCTGGGAGTCTCTCATCAGTCTTCAATCCACATCCAAGACACTGCACGTAGCATCTCTGACACAAATTGGCTCCGGCACTTAGAGAAGCCACTGCACAACATGAGGACTCATAGTAAAATGAGAGAAAATGGTTCTTAAGTTGCTCCTTCAGTGGTTATCAGGAGTTTGGTCCACAAGGTGGATCTCCAGCTCCATGCATGGAAATGTTACTGGTGTTATGGATTAGATAAGAGAACCTAAGAGTCTGGGAAAGTATTTGGGCCTGAATTTGTCCTTGTCACCAGCAGAGATTTAATTCAGATCTTCTGTTAGGAGCTAATGTGGTTGTCACTCCCATGCTGCTCTCTGGAGGTGCAATCACAGCATCCCGCTCTGCTCAGAGAGATGATCAATACAGAAAAGTTGAATGCTCATTACCTGGCACTGTACCGTTACAAGGCTGGAAATGGCACTTTTGCATCGTCTCACCCATTATGTCCCCCTGCACAGCCCTCTATGCAGAGAGCTGCATGACTCTGCTGCATTAAAATCCATGAGTATGGCTTGGCTTGGAGACTTGTACCTTTCACCATTCAGTTTGATTTTAATGGCATTGTTATAGCCAATTCTGATGTAGGGAAGGGATGAACCCGTTCAAAGGGAGTGGGACACACTCCTCTAGCCTTCCTGTTTCCTTGGTACCCCTTTTCCCCTTTCTTATTAAGTAACTAAAGAGGCACACAGTTTCTTTCCAGTTTCTTACACACAATTTGCCTCAAATTGACACACAGAGGTACTGTGTTTTAACCACTTTTTGGTTAAGATCTTCATAAGCCACTAGTGCGTTTGAATAGCCTAGTTTTGAGTGGCTTCTAGAGCAGAATCATCACCCAGATGATGATTTAAGTCTCTATTTAAATGCTTGCAGTTGAAACAAGCCAGCATAAAGCTAAACCCAACCTCCAGTATCTACAGAGTCTTAAACCTGACCAAGATTTTGGTGCTTTCAGGGCTGGTGGAGAGAATACCCAAAGGATGTGTGGGATGACCCAAGTCAGTGTTTTAGAGCCAAGTTAGTGTTTTAGACCTGTGGGTGATTGGTGTTTCTGGTGAAGCAAAGCAGCAAGGACTCAGTGGTGCAGAGTGGCCCCGTGCCACCCAGCTCAGCATCACAGCCATCCCTGAGAGCTGGCACAGGGACTGCTGGCACAGGCCTGGCTCCTGCTGGGGCTCATTCACTGTGGGACATAGCAGAAGCTTTGCAGGGCCTGCATTTCAATCAGGCAGCTGGATATGACGCTCATGTCAAAGCTGCCAAAGCAGCCCATTGACTGAACATCTGCCGCTCTCAAGGAGCTGCTTGTGGACATCTGGAGGGTTGGCACAGTCCTGGTGAGCAGGAACAGGCATGGCTGTGTCACAGCTCAAAGCGACAGCCCGTGCTCAGAGCAGGGCACTGTTGCACCATGACGTTACCGTCGGTTCCAGGAAGTGTTTTCACCCGTGTCCCCCTGCCAGCGCTGAGCTGATGCTGACTCGCAAATAAAGCCCAGCAAAGTCCTGTTTCCTTGCTGGTGAATCAGCCATTGTCTCCGTTCTGGGGTTTTATTTCTAATTATAGCTACCAAGCCAGGGTTTGCCAAGAATTGAGTGTTAATACAGGAATTTGGAAAGGATGACTGAATTCCTCGTGCCCTTCTCTCAAAGCTGTATCCAGGAACCTCTTGCTCCTGTCACGTTGCTTCCTACTGCAAAATTCTGCCTGTGATCCCATAGAGAAATATGCCTTTGTGGCATTCAGCATCCTGAATATCCTTATCAACCTTAGGCAGGACCTGCAGAGAACAGAGGAACTCCTCCAGGGAGGAGACTCTGAACAGGAGGCTAAATTAGGTGTGTGATGCCCCCTTCATAGGAGTTTCTTCATTGCCTGAGCTGGGAACGTGGCAGTCCAAAGTTAACTCGTGGGAGTTCCCCTGAGGGCCTGTGGTAAGAGATGCGCTGAGTATTTCCAGCTCCTGTTGCCATTGGAGATGCAGCTTAGTGCAAAATTAGTCCTCTGGAAGTGACTCTCCTCAGTCATAATTAGTAGACATTCTCTTTGGGAGAGCTGGATCAATACAACAGCACCATCAGCTGTAATTGCTGCAGCTGTAAGTGGGTTTAAAATAAAGTTGCATTTCTAATAGGACAAAGAGAAATGGAAGAGAGTGGGAAATAGGGTGCAGAGAGTCCTGTGGAGCAATAGGTGTAGAGAACACTTTGGTTGATTGACACTTCAGCCTCTGGAGGGTTCTTGTTGCCTGGACTTGAGAACCTAAAATAGATCAGGTTATTCCTGTGAAAAGATGCTCTTTTAGTTGTGTTTGGGAGCCTAATACTCAGGCTTTTATCATGCTTTCTGAGGCCTAGAGCTCAATTGGTTTAAAGGTGTAATGAATTTGCATCCCACTTGTGAGATGTCCAGTGTTAACGTGTTGCTGACTCCTAGGTCTGAGAAGGGAGTTATCCCATTGCTGGAAACAAAGCAGGTTCTTGGCTGTTTTGTGCCTGGGAACAGGCTGCAGAGGAAGACTGAGCTTGTGGCACAGTCTGATAGTTCCCATGTTCTCATCCTTCATGCGTGGACAAATGCCAGCAGCTGAAATCAGACCAGGATCCAAACTGGCTTCTGCTGTGCTCAGAAGTTTCATGGGAACATCCATAGTTGTTTTAGGGGGATGATATGGTTACTTTTTGCTTCTAGTTATGCAGACTGGGGGTTGCTGTGAGATTTGTGAATGTATCTAACACTGAATCTTGGCTACTGCACTACCCCTCCATGCCCAGATTTTACATAGGGATGCTGCAGCCAGTGAGCACTTACTTAACACACAGGATTACTTAAAAAAACCCAACCCTGGCTGTTTTTGTAAGCTATTGCGAAAACATACCAGCTTTAAGAGTTTAGACTTTATTGCCCTAATAACTGTGATATAAATGTCAAATCTCTTATGTTTATGCTTAACTCCATCTTAGCTTTTATTGACCATTTTTCATTTGTTTTGTAGAAGCCACTCTTGGGCCAGAAACCGGGGAGTTCACAACATCTGCTCCAAATGCCACCCAGGCAACATCCTTTCCAACTGCAGTGATAAACAGTACGTTGTCACCAACAACTATACAGATGCTATTTCCCATGAGTTCCTCTGACAACAGCACTTCTGCTTTTGCAGACGTGTCCTGGACTCAGTTTAACATCATTATCTTGACAGTTATCATCATTGTTGTGGTCCTACTAATGGGCTTTGTGGGTGCTGTCTACATGTACCGTGAGTATCAGAACAGAAAACTCAACGCTCCTTTTTGGACCATTGAACTCAAAGAGGACAACATCAGTTTCAGCAGCTACCATGACAGCATTCCCAACGCTGACGTTTCGGGGCTGTTGGAAGATGATGGGAATGAAGTTGCACCGAATGGACAGCTAACGCTGACGACTCCCATGCATAACTATAAAGCTTAAAAGCAGTGATCCAGCTATTCCAAAGTTGGCTTGGAAAAGTTATGGGGCTTGTTGAAGGGATATCAGGAATCCGTGCCAAGGCTCCAAGCAGAGGAATTTGCTCTTCAGATACTCTTATTCTGGGAATGCTGTAGCTTGCAGGTGAACAGGAAAAAGCGTAGTACATCTGAATTTCAGGTAATACGGTGAAGTGCATTCAGTGGCCTGCTCTCCATCAAGATCCACAGAGTTCACTGTTGTTAAAGGCTTGATGATGCTGATCTGAAATATCTTTCTTATGAAGAAGTGGTAGGGTGGAGAAAGCACTACCCATGACTCATCAAAAGCTACTTGATATCCAGCCAACCTAACACTTATGTCTTCATCCTTTAGTTTGAGAAGTAGCTCATGAATTAACAGTGGATATTCAGGAAAGGCTTCATTTTAGTTCCTGATATAAATGTGTTTATAAAGGAGGACAAAAAGAGAAAGGGAGACGTTCACTGCAATACCAAAAGGCAAGTAGAGGAGTGAGGTGCACACTTAAAAAAAGTCACCATTATGAGTTTCCACTAAGCAGGGAAACAGGGGAAAAATAAAGAATTAAAACATTGGAGTTAGGGAAGAGACAAAGCTTTTCCATTTCGGAGTATTTATACAGGGTGATGATGCTATTAAAACATAGCAATCCATTTTGGTTTTTCTAGAAGGAGTTAATGAACTTGTATAGTTTCTGTGCAAGGGAAGACGACAAAGACATCTCAGGGTTGCCGTGTAAAAAGAAAAGCTAGGCTTAATACCCTACCCTGATAGCAATGGTGTGTTCTGTATATAAAATGTAATATATCTTCTTGGAATTGTATTTGTAATTATTTGTACAAAAATAGACAACCAACCAACCAAAAAACCCCCCCCAACAAACCCATGAACCTCCCCTATCCCCCAAGTCATATTTTCTCTTCTAGATTTTAACTGTACAGCGGTTAGTGGCGTTGTTTAAAACGGAAACAACCTGAGGGTTGTTTAAAATACTGTAAATTAGATGGCAATATTGTTGGAGCTGGGACTCTGGCAAACACTGACTGCTTGAAGCTTTTCTTCTAGTGTCATTGACTAACTTTCTTTTTTAGAGAACGTGTGAGTGCTCCCTACTTGCATCTGTTTGATTTCCCCATTCCTTTAAATATAGAGTGAATACCAGTGTTGCCATGACTTAGGGCCTAGTAAGTGTCCAAAAATTGGATGTACCATTCTGTTACTTGCTTTTAAATCTCCATACAAAATGCAAATACACTGTCATGAATGCACTGAGAGCCTGATCTCGATGGCTGAGCTTCTCCAGAGCGGCTGCTCGTGGTGTGAGTGGATCTCATTCCCATCTGTCCTGCACTGACACAGTGATAGGGGAGACATGTCAGAGAGCTGAAAGCAGCCTCCTGGAGGGCAAAAGCAACAACATCTGGATTTGGATGGGAATGGCTTTCAGCTGAAGAGCTTCTAGGCTTAAAAGCTAAAAATGCACTGAGGCTTTCTGGAAATGTACATAGCACAAGGTGGTGGTGATGGGGAATCAGCTGTGTCCCTGGTTCCCCTGATTTTTGTGGGAGGCTGGTGGACTGTTAGGGGGAGAACAACCAGCGGGCAGCAGAGTACAGGGAGGTCACTCCTCACTTGGTATCTGCATCAAGGCAGGCACTGTGCCCTCCTTGTGCTGGTGAGCGCCAGGTCCAGCCCATGAAAATCAATACTATTACATTTAAGCAGGGTGTGAAACAAGCCTCTCGCCTAACTCATGAGGAACCTCAAACTAAAGCTGCATTGCTGTGTGTGTTGGTGCTCTGCAAACGATTGCTGCTGAGGATAAATGAAGTACCTGCTAAAGGTCAGCAGGAGCTGACAGATGCATCCTCAGAGCCAGGTGAAAGGAGGTATTTCTCAAGATGAGAAATGGTAGGAAGAATGTGGTGATTATTTATTTGCTTTCTGGTGCTGCACGGAGGCTTTTCTTACCATTGGAGACTTTTTGGGGAGGGTGGGGGGTACAGGTACTTCAAACACATGCACAAACATGCCATTTCTGCCTCAAAAACTTGCTTGCCTGGTTTAAAGATGGGGCACACCAAGTAAGAAGGGAAAGAGCTGAAGATGGTCAAGGGCAACTGCAAGGGCAGAATGTGAGATTGAGCTGATGGGACCTGGGTGAGGTCCCGGAGTGTAGGTAATAACTTTGGCTAATGTCAGTCAGAGCAATGTTACTTGGAGTTATGAAACAGGGGAGGAGTGGAGGAGAAAATCTGGATGTTGCTAATTCTTGAGTCATTCATCAGACTTTGGAAGAGCAGAAAATTTCCTGGAAGTTGTAACTATTTAGCAGCACTGATTTAGGGATACGCTTGCACTTCATCACTTCAGAGGGTGGGGAAAAGTGATTTAGGAAGTGTTAGCTTCTGAGACTAATGCTGGCAGGCTAAGTGAAGGATGGATTGTTCACTTTAATGTTTTCGTAATATTTTGGTAGAGAGAGAAAACACCTCTTCCTCATTTTGGGATTACTGTTGGCTACTTTGTACCAGAAATAGGCCTTGAGTTTTCTCTCGCTGTAGAAATAACATCTTCAAAATCAGAGTGTGAGTTCAGATGCTGAGCCCTCCTAATATGTGCCTACCACAGTGCAGGAGGTGTTTGCATCTGGGCTGCTTCTGACCTCCAAATTGCCCTCAATTCTTTGTGTTTGAGCCCTGGGTTTGAGAAGAGGGGGAGGGCAGGATACCTTACAGTCAGTCTGCAAGGGAGGGTGGTACAGCTGTGCTGCTTTGGGTTGCACATCTGGATGAAAGGATGTAGATGGTCCCCACAGATGTGATGGGAAGCTTGGCTGGGCAGGGGGGACCTGGCTGCCTGGGTTTGGGCAGCAGAGGAAAGCACAGGATGTTCTTTAGCAGGGACTGGAGCACAGCGAGGATGTGGCACTGGGACAGTGCTTGTCAGATGGCAAAATGACTCAGCAGGAAAATCCCAGCCATCTCCAGTCAACCAGGCCTTTGGCACAGAGGAACAGCACTTAAAAAAGGGGATCAATGTCTCAGCAAAGAGAGAATAAACAGCTTCATGTTCGATTTTGGTGGTGTGAGATGAGACCCTCCCTCTCTCCATCACTCATGCAGTGTCCCCTGGGCACTGCAGGAGATGAGGACAAAGCTGGGCTAGTTGTATCTTCTATCAGCTTAGGTTGACATTGCATTTTGAGGGGATGCAGAGCAACACACATGTGCCAAGGTACTAAAGGACACCAGGACCACTGACCTGCCATGTTGTAACTTGCCATGAAGCTTCCCAGATGTTGTGGTTTGCCCTATGCCACAATGGGGTGTGGGCAGGTAAACCAGAATTGGATTTACAGGGCTGTTGAGGTCCTACTCAAGCTAGCAAGACAAGCAGGCATCTGGATGACTTCTAGGGCTGATGTGGCAATACAGATACATGTAGGATTGCTGAAGGGCCACCATACTTCTCCTTCTAAGTGGGCATGCTGCTGTATGGCTCTCCTGAAGAAAGGTAGTTGATAGCATGGTACAGTGGCTGTAGAACATAGAGAAGGTACAGTAAGGGCTGGGTTAAGGTGGGAAACCAGCTCTCAAGGCACAATCCTCAGGGTCGTGAGGGCCCTGTGGACCCAGATGGTCTGGATGGGGCGAGTTCAACAGTCAAGTAACTTGGAGGCAAGAGGATATAATGGAGTGGATAAAGGGCAAAAAGCAATGGTATGTCAAAGGTGTGGGGCAGCCTGGATGGCTGACAACTTAGGAGAGCATTTGGTAAGCACAGAATGCAACAGACATGCAAAGAGTGATTGGGTTAATGGGAACAGATGATCTCAAATCTTATGAACCACTGTAGCTAGGAATAACTTTGTGGAGCACTAGCCCTAGGGAGCTGGGAGGAGATGTCATCCACTGGAATGAGAATTCCCTTGAACCAGGCAAACTTGGCACGCTGGAAGCCTTTTATGAAGGAGGAGGGGATGTAGTCAGCATCCTTTGGGTGTCCTGGGCCAGTTCAGTGCTCTACAACCGCGTTATCTTAAACGTTACATGCAATGGAAACGGGGGGGGGGGGGGTTGCACAGTCTCCTTTAAATAAAAGATATAAAAATAAATTTCTCTGTCAAGTGAAGTTTTAAAATGAGCTCCCACAGGACTCTGCTCTTTGTGTCAGAGGCATGGATAAGAGAAATGTGGGCCTTAAAAGCTGTACTTGCTCCCAACTGAAACCAATCAGTCTTACTACGCATCCAAATAAGGTGTCTCCTAAGCATATGCTATGCTTACAAATGCATTTCTAAAATAAAAAGTGTATGATTTGAATATATGTCAGAATTTATACAGAAGAATGTTATTTAAAATGAATAAAAATAAATGTATATAATTTGTATCTATGCCACTTGGATTTTTGCATTTTTGTTCCTTCCAAGTTCAGCAGGAGTCTTTCCATTGATGGCAACCAGAGCTGGACTGAAACCTAAAGGATTGAATCCGATCTTAAATGACATTTGTTCAGAGAGAATTATTCCTTCATTACACCCCTGGATGTGACAGGAGAACCAGGGCACAAAAATGGTTTTTAACATCAGCTATAAGTAGTTGACATTGTGTCAGATAATCCAGCTATAAAAAGAGTCCTAAGATGTTTTGTGTCTTCTTATTCATCCCAGCTTTCAGCTACTTACATGAACATTTTTGGTAGCCAGACAGTCAATGCGTGCTTCCCCGTTGTTGTCTGTAACATTCCCACAGACATAATTTGTCAGGGATTTATGCAGTCATTAACAATGAAACCCACAGAGCAAAGCTAGAATCTGGAAGAGGATATTGTATTGGATTTTTCTTCATGACCACAATGGGTCTTCCAAAGGAAATGTATGTTATCAGATGCTCTGAAATCCTTATCTGGTGCATCAATAGTCCTTGACAGTTCCGGTACTGTCTGTAAAAAGACCTACAGAAAACTTGCATTTCTTTCTCACTTGTCACTGTTAGGAAATGGATTTTTTTTTTGGTGCAGAAGCCAATACAAATGCTAAAGGGCAGTCTTTTCTGCTGAATGTTATGTCTAACTCTTATTAAGTAAAGAACTTGGAGAGGTAAGTTGGCATAAATTAGGCAAGCACTTAAAAGTGAGTGTTCATTCAAATGTTTAACTGAGCCAGAGCTGTGTAAGTAAGGGCTACACTGGTGAAATTCCAGGCAGTTTATTGAGACCTGGTTTGTATTAGCAGAACAGTTTGATTGTGTGTGACATAGCTTAGGAGGAATTCCACTATGAACCGTAACAGGAGGAGGGTAACTGAATACTGAGCAGGTCCCCAGAGAAGGGACTTGAGGACAGGAGGGGAAGGAGGACCCACACTCAGCTGATGGTGACATCTGTCCTCCTTATGCCACCATCACACCTCAGGCACAGCACTCTGAGTTGCTGGATTTCATCCTGCTCCTTGGGATGAACAGCTCATCCATACTGTTACACTCGCCATACTTCTCTCCTAGACTCCCTTTAGTACTTTTGTTTCTGTGGCAGTCAGGATCCCAGGCTGCCTTGTAAAGGAAGAAAGCATCATTCCAATACAGCTTCCTAACACAAGGATTTAGAATAATCTCCCCAAATGTGTTACTAATTAAGATATGGTTAAACAGCATTAAGCAGATTACCAGGAGGCAAGTTGTTAAGTGCTTCTAAACAATGCACTTCTCAGCCCCTTATGCCCCTCACAGCTTCTTGGTGCTGCTGCAGACTGGGCAGTGCAGATAGCCAGGGAAGTTTTCCATCGTGTCTGTGTATATATACATCTATATATCTATATGCCTTTGTCCACCAACCAACCATTTCATGATGTGATAACCACAAGGATCCTGCTGATTTCCTTTTGAAAGATAGTAGGCTGCGACACAAATCATGGCTCTGCAGACACAAAGGTGCCATGCCCGCATCACATGGGCAGTGAATAACGTGTCCTGTACTAAACACTGATGGATGCTGATTTAATGGCATGTATCAAATACGTAACACACTACGGTAACCTGAAACGTGAGCCAGTTGGTACCATCCTCCTAGCAAGTGGGCTCACTCCTTCTGTGAAGATCCGCTCTGTAAAGGAGCAAAGCCATGTTTCAGACTGATTGATTGCACCCTGGTGCCGTATGGCAGACCTGCTTTTGCAAACTTAACTTCAGCTCAGCAGAAGGGGACCCAGTCACACAAGGTGATAAATGTCTCTCAGGGGCCTATGGGGGAGTTGAAATGACTGAACATTTAAGGTCATCAGACCCTGAATGCAAATCATTAGGCTTGGTCAATGGGATAGAGAGGAGATTAAAAGCTTACTTGTGCTAAGTAGTGCCTGGTGTTTCCTGGTGGTTTGGGGCACCTACAGTTGCTCCATCATGCACTTGTACACATAAAGTTGAAAGACAGAAGTAGGGATGGGAAGCCCTTCATGGTCATACACATCCAGTGGTTGCAATGGCCACTATCACCAGTCTAGTGCATTTTACAGGCTTGAATCTGTTCTGAATAGCAAGTAGAACTGGGAAGGGTTCACGGAGAAAATGGAGTGAACAGGGCACCATGATGCTTTGGAATAATCATATCCTAGAATGGCTTAGGTTGGAAAGGGCCTTAAAGCTCATCCAGTTCCAAACCCTTGCCATGGGCAGGGACACCTTCCACTAGAGCAGCTTGCTCCAAGCCCCTGTGTCCAACCTGGCCTTAGACAGTGCCAGGGATGAACTTCTTCCTAAGATCTCATCTCAGTGTCCCCTCTGTCAGTTTAAAGCCATTCCTCCTGTCCTGCCCCTACCCACTCTTACAAGAGCAAATAAACCCACCTAACTGCCATACCCACGGGCAGCCCTTACCTGTGGCCTAGTTCCTGGCCAGGTACGAATCCCTTTGCGATAACCCAGATGCCACTGACTGAAACCTGACACAGTCCGTACGGAAGAGGCAACCAAACCGTGTGCCTTAAGCACATCGCCGCTGCTGTGGGTCCCTGCAATGGGCTTCCTCATGTTGCAGGTAACGCTGGGTGAGTCCTGGCACCATGCCCTGGTTGTGAATGTCGCAGGGAACTTTCAATCTCAATAACGAGTTAAAAGAGAATGTGGAGAGCGTGAGGGACATGGAGGCAGCAGCTCCCCCCGCTCCTGACACCCTCATGGGCCCCCCTGAGAGACACAGCCCCTGGGGGAAGCATATTGTTAGTGTTTAAGCCAGTTTGCCATTCCAGCTGCCTGAAGTGTTCAATATAATTCCATTTTCTCGCTCAAAAGTGGGAAAGCTGCAAGGCTTAGCTCTTTGCTTTACACCCCCCCGATTGATTCAAGATCGTCCTGTTTGGGTGCTGACAGCAGCTGGCTTCGCGGATTGTCACCCCTGCCAGCTACAGAGAACAGTGACTGGAATGGGAAATTAAACCGTCATTATTCCTCTCTCTAAGCCTGACAGAGGGCTGGCGCCGAGCAGGACATGGAAACAATCGGCTCCGGCGGCTCTGGCAGCGGCGTGGGGCCCGCCGCACCCCACAAAAGCCTCTTCCAAACGCGGAGCTCTGGGACCGAAGGCGGCGGGGAGAGGCGGGGAATGCCCCGTTGCTCAGCCCCATCCCATCGCCACCTCTCACGCGGACTCGGCAGGCTTGCCCTCGACAAAGGTGGCAACCACTGTGCCCGCAATAAACACGGCGGCTCCTCGCCGCCTGTCTCCCCTTTGAAAGCAAGATGGCGTCTGGCTGACCTCGCCCTGGCTTCCCTCACTCAAGATGGCGCCCGACGCCTTTCTCCCCCATTGCCCAGCTGGCAGTCTCCACCATACCCCGCCCCTCTCTGCCCTCAGCCAACATGGCGCCTACCCGCTCCACTTCAGCCACTGCCCTCACCAAACATGGCGGTTCCCCTTCAGTTTCTATACGCCCGCTCCCTACCCTCACCCGCGGTGGCTTCAGCGGCTTCACCTCCGTCGACGCAAAGATGGCGGAAGCGATTGCGCCTGTTTGAATTCCAGCGAAGCCGCCAAAGCCGCGTACAAAGGAGCCGGAGCCGTGGCCGCCCGGGACCCGCGGGCCATGGACTCGCTGCCGGGGGACGACCCGACCCTGCCGGTGGAGCTTGAGGGCAGGTAGGCGGGCGGGGGGCGCTGAGGCGCCGGGCCCGCGGCTCCTGCATCCCGCCGGTGCATGTGGTGGGGCTGGGCCCGCCGGCCCCGAGCGGGGGTCGTGGGGACGGGACCCCCAGCGCTTGTCCTCAGCGGTGTTCTCATCCTTCTTCAGCGTGTCCCAGCTGCCGGACGTCTCCCGCGGCGATCCCCAGCCCGGTCCGGCCGGCGGCGACGGTAAGGATGGGAGGCGGGCGGTGCGGGAGGCGACGGTGAGGTACTCGCGGCACCCGAGGAGGAGCCCGCCCGGCTCTGCCCGGGGCTCGGTGCTCCTCCGGGTCTGGGAATTGCCCTCATGCAGGAGGGCTGGAGCAGCTCTGCTGTGCGGCCAGGCTGGGAGAGCTGGGCTGGGTCAGCCTGGAGAAGAGAAGGCTCCTGAAGGGGAGACCTGAGAGCAGCTCCAGTGCCTAAAGGGGCTGCAGGAAGGCTGGAGAGGGGCTTGGGACAAGGGCCTGCAGGGACAGGCCAAGGGGAATGGCTTTAACCTGCCAGAGGGGAGACTGAGATGAGCTCTTAGGCAGAAGCTCTTCCCTGTGAGGGTGCTGAGGTGCTGGCACAGGGTGCCCAGAGAAGCTGTGGCTGCCCCATCCCTGGCAGTGTTCAAGGCCCGGTTGGACACAGGGGCTTGGAGCAAGCTGCTCTAGTGGAAGGTGTCCATGGGTTGGAGCTGGATGAGCTTTAAGGTCCCTTCCAACACAAACCCTTTTGTGATCTATGAAAAAAGTCAGTAAATGCCTTCAAGTGATGCAGCTTTTTGTAAGTTATGTCTTTTTAAGGCTCTAAACCGCCAGCAACTGCTGCAGTTACCGCTGTCTGCTCTGTTGCCTGTGGTCATGATGGCTCTTAGTCTTACGTAAGATGATCAGTGGTTTTGTGAAGCGTGTACTTAAAACACTTACAATATCCAGCAAGGCAATACTGCTCTTTCATGTTGTGCTTAGTTTTAGGGAAATTGGATGCTGGGTATCATCAGGTTTTCCAGTTCAGCTCTTCAGAGTTACTTCCTGCCTGAAGTAGCCTGCTCTGGACTCAGTAGCTTCGCTTTTACCTATTCACATATTCAGAAGCCTCCTTCTGTTGAACAGACGCGTCAATTCAGGACAGTTTTCTATATGATAGCCATGTAACTGTGTTCATCTTGAGGTGTGGGAGGCTTGCTTGAAGCACTCTAAAGCTGAATGGCTGCAAAGTACTGCTCTGAAGCCTTCTAGCTGTGGTGTTAACTGTTCTCTGTT